CCAAGTGTGGGGGCTGGGGGCAGCTAACCAGCACTGAAGGGCCCAGAATTGCCGCCAACTTCTGTGCTGTCTTCTCTGCAGACACCTTGGGGGGCCTGGCCCCCAGACAGAGGACAGGGGCTCAACCTCAGCCTGTACACCACCTCTCGGGGCACCACCATGGCACCAGCGAGTCCTGGCTGATGACAAGAGTTTGCCACTCAGAAGAGACCTTGAAAAATGGCTTGGGCTGGCTCCCCCCGCTGCGGGAAGCTGCCCATGACTCACCAGTCCTCGGCTCTGCTCAGCTGACGACTGGTGGGCAGCAGGCTGGCCCTTAGAAGGCTGTGGGGTCCCCTACATGCTCCCGGAGAAGAACAGAGTGGAGGATGGGTGGTTCCTGTCAATTGCCGCGTCACTTGGTCCTGTCACCCACCTTCAAACATTCTCAGGGCAGGTAGAAGTGACCCATTACAAAAGAGTGGCCCTAGCAAGTGTCACTATGATCTGAATGATGAAGACAAGGACTCACTCAGCTCCTGGGTCAAGTGAGCACCCAGGGCCCCAAGCTATGAAGCCGAGAAGTTCAGGGTCAAGACCCTCTGGCAGCCTCAGAGGAGAAGACCCCACTTCTCCCCTTGACTTTGGTAACACTGAGTTCAGGGGGCCTGTGAGACCCCCAGATCCCTCTACCAGCAACCCTGCATCAAAGGCCACACATCATCTTGTTGGAGATGAAGAAGCTGGAGGAGCGCTGAAGGTGAGCCTGCCTGGCAGGGGTCCCCTGTGGGTGGGAAGATGAGACTCATTTACAAAGACTCCATGTACCCCGTTTGAAGAACGTGGAGCCAAGCTGTCTCCAGCACCCGTGGGCAGTTCTCAGTGAGTTCATCCATCCGTCTGGCAAAGCTGGAGGCATCCGAGAAAAAGACCCTGCCCAAAGTTACAGCCCAGAGGATGCAGAGCTCTCCAAGAGGTGCCCGGGGATTCAGCCTGCATCATGTCAGTGTCGCCATCGACTGACAGGCCAGGGGCTGGGGTGCTCAGTGGTCGAGTGCCTGCCTCGTCTGCCCGAGATCCTGGGTTCCGTCCTCAGCAGTGCCTGGATTCTCAGCATCATTCCCAAAAAAGGGATCAGACCTTTGAGTGTGCACGCACACACATCCCCAGGTCTGTATTCCTGGGAGAGTTTGCTCCACTCAAGTCCCATATGTACACAGAGCTGTAAATAGAGGCCTTGACTGTATAAGGGAATCCTTTCTGAAGGAATCCACCCAAATCTGTAAATAGCCAGCCCTGGAGTAAATGCCAAAGGGAATGCTCATTGTGTGCACAAAGCCCTGAAGTGTATGGGGAGGAAGGGACCTGGCCTTGCAGAAAGTCCCTCTTCCCGCTCAGAGTGAGAAGAAGGCATCCCCAGCATGCCTGGCACGAGAGGCCCGCAGCCCCGCAGGAGCCCAGCCCTGGACCCTCGCCCCCCATGCCAAGCGCAGATTTTTTCTCTGCCTTTAACATTCCCACTGCAGGGAAGAACGGGAAGACGCTGGCACAGACTGAAGGGACCTTGCTTTTACACCGTCTGCTTCTTTGTGTTCTTGGATTTTGTGCTTGAAAACAGTAAGCTTTGTCAGAGTCCTGCTGGCAGCTGTGGTCTTCCAAGAGTTCCTGTACCACTTCCTCATGTCCAGCAAGGACCGGCTCCTGCAGGGACACTCCATGCCCTTCGTCCCCACCCAGCCCAAGACACACCCACACACAGTCATCAGGGAAGTTCTGTTGCCACCCTCGATCCTTGAGGCACCTCCTGCAGCACTTCTGACCCAGGTGCAGGCAGGACTCAGTGCAGCCTCTCGCCACAGTGGCCACAGTAGGGACTGGAACCGCCTGTGTCCTCACAACCTCGGCATCCAGCGCCACCTAGAGGCTGCTCCAGGATACTACTGCTGAGGCAATCGGGAGGGTCCCGAGGCCAATGATGTACCAGGAAGGTACCCACGTTTCCTATGATGACCCGGGAGACTGGGCAGCCGGTTGGGGTGCTGGCCAGGTCCCCATACATCAGCGCTCTGCAATGTTGCTACTCCGCCTTTTTTTAAATGCCTATGCCTCCTCCCTTAACAGCACACACACATAGATACTTTCATTTCCCTCTAGTTATGAAAGTAAAGCACTTGAAAAGATGCTAGACTTCATTAGTCATCAGAAAATGCGACTTTGAATCACACGTGCTCCCCAGAATGCCAACATCAGCATCACTAAGCCCCCTCCTCTGGCCCTTGGCCTTGCAGGGGAAGGTAATGGGGTGGAGGGAGGTCCGAGAGCCCAGTGGCACTGCAGGTGTGGACGGTCACCTCCACCCTGCCCTCTCTCCAACCCAGCCAGGGACAGGCTCACCCCCAGGGGGCACTGGGCACGTCTTGCTGGCGTATCTGGGGAAGGAGGTGCTACTGGCATCTGGTAGGTAGAAGCCTGGAGCTTCTCAGAGTCCTAGAGAGCCCAGGACAGCCCCCATGAGAAAGCTGGAGAGCCTGGTCCAAAATGCCAGTGGGGGCCACGTTGAGAAACTCTGCCTGAGAGCGCCATGATGGTCTGGTGGCACAGAGCAGTCCTGCTTCTAGATAACCAAGCATTTTAGCTAAAGATTTAGAATAGAAGATTCTTTCAAAGGAGACCGAGGCTCTAAGGACACTTGTACTGTATGTATTCAAAATAACAAAGCTGCATGGTTTAAAAAAAAATACAGCAAAGAAGAGATCAGACATCCCGTGACAGTCCCTTCACCAGCCAGGGACTGCCCTGCCTGGCCAACACCAGCCGCTCCACGAGCAGCCACTGACCACTCCTTCTTGGACTTGTGAGAGCGTCCAAAGCCAATGTTTTTATGCAGAACCACTTGAGGAGACAAAAATACGTTTCTGCTTATTCTTTTCTCTCCTGAAGGCAATGTCTTGTTTAGCATTCCTCTGATCTAATTGGGTAATTGAATTATTTTTAACTCTGAGATTGATGACCAAAAAGTCAACACAATTAAAATGAAGCAGTCATGGGAGCACAATAAATCACCCTGGATGTGAAAATTGCTCACGGAACCACTCTGCCCAACACCGTCATTAAGCATAAATGCCTAGAATTTCCTGGATGCCATGGGAAACACAAAATAAGTAGAAGACACAGTCCCAACTAATGAGGAATCCTCTACATTCATTTTTGCCAAGTGCGTTCTAGATTGTTGCACTGTCTATTGTTTTAGGAGCACTGAAGACCCTTTTACTGCTCTGTGTACTAAATCAAGTCATCTAACTGCAATCCAACCAAATCTTAAAATTTATTCTGGAGATTCTGCTTTTAAAGAATTAAGCATTATCCTTTAAATGACAAAATTTTATAGGAGAAGCCAAACCCAACATCTCAAATCATCTCAGCAGAAACCAACGTAAGGAATCCGTTGACAATAATCCTCAATAGCTGCCCCAGAGGATTTAGGGAATTCAGGCAGGAAGAAAGACAATTGAGAGTTTGCTTGACATTTAAAAAGCAAAATCTGCACGTTATAAACTAGAATTCCAACCAGTTCCAAAGGTACACAGTGAAAAAGTCTCTTCCCTCTCCTCCGACTTCCCAATCTCCCTGCTGCCAGCTGTTCATATAACAAACACACACATTTGTACAAATGGCAGTTGTGCTACACACACGTTGTTATTGTAAGCTGGGGTTTTCTTCAATATTTTGAATGTGATAGAATACACCTAACATAAAATGTACGATGCTGGCCACGTAAGTGTGCAGCTCAGTCACACCAAGTATATTCCTATCATTACACAATCATCGCCACCAGCCACCTCCAGAACTCCTGTCTTCCAAACCTGAAACTCTATTCCTATTAAACAATGATCCCCGCGCCCCTCCCTCCCAGCCCCTGGCAACCAACCTTCTGCTTTCTACCTCTACAAATCTGACTGGGATAGGCGCCCCGTGTTAGTGGAATCTGACAACTGGGTCTTTCTGAGCCTGGCTTATTTCACTTAGCGCGACGTCCTCAGAAGTCGTCCGTGATGCAGCCTGTGCCTGGCTTTCTTGCCTTTTCAAGGCTGAATGATATTTGTTGCATGTATATCCCACATTTAGCTCATCCATGCCTGCTTCAACGCACACTCGGGTTGCTTCCACCCTCTGGCCAAGGTGAATAATGCTGCAACAATGTACAATGTACAGCCAGATGTACCAGCAGGGGACTGGCTGGAGAGCGTGGCCATTCTGTCTTCCACAATGGCTGCATCATTTTACCTTCCCACGACAGTGCTCCAGGGCTCTGGTTTCCCTGCAAGCTCACTAATGCTTGCTGCTTTTACTTTTGCTGGAGCGGTCCTGACGGCTGAGGTGGGGTCCCCCTGTGGTCTGGCTGGCATTTCCCTATGAAGAGTGACGGTGAGCATCTTCCCACTGCTCATGGGCCATCAGGCTCCGTCTCCATGGACAGGTCTCCTGTAGTCCTTTGCTGAGTTGGAGGGTCCCCTCTACCCCTGGAGATCACTCCCTTTGCAGGTTGCCCATATTTCGTCCAGTTCTGGAGGCTGCTTTTCGCTCTGCTCATCGTGTCTTTGGAGGCACAAGTTGCTCATTGTCACGAGGCCCAACTTGCTTCTCCTCTCATGGCCCGTGCCTGGGTGTCCGCTCCAAGAGCTTGTTGTCAAAGGCAGCGTCTTGAAGCCACTGCCCTGCATTTGCTTCTGGGAGTTGTAGAGGCCCCGCTCTTGGGCCTTGGAGTTGTCTGAGTTCATTTTTGAGTCTGGGGTTAAGTAAGAGCCTGGCTTCATTCTTCTGCCCGTGAGACCGATTTTCCCAGCGCCACGTGTTGGTTTGTCCTGTTTCTCTGATAAACCTTGGCCTCCTTCTTCCCGTGGCCCCACAGGGTCCCACCACATGGAGGGCCTTTCACATACTCAATCCAGCTCTGCTGCAGGACACCAAACAGCCCTCCGCCCTGTCGGCCTCTGAGAAACGCCAGGGTGCACGTCCTCACAGAAGCATGAGTGTGCAGGTGCACAGGCCCACATACAGGTGTGCACACACGTGGGAACAGCCTTAGGGTGCCATCCCTTGGGTGCCAGCGAGGTCCTCTACTCAGCAGGTAGAGCCATGCCAATCACCACCAGGTAATCCATCTGCTTTTTGTTAAATAAAAATTCACGGTCGTGAAATTCAGATAGTTAAGAGAGAAATGAAATGGACAGAGAAGAGCCCTTACCTCAGCCCCAGTCCTTCTACCGTCTGGCTAAAAGTGCCTTGTAATTTGCTTCCAGGAAAAAAAAAAAAATGGTCACACATATACTCAGTAACATGTGATGCCACGTTATACTTGCACGTGAGCAAACAGAGTGTAGACACTGCAATACGTTTATATATAGCAGGTATGTATTTTAGTATTCTACCTGTTTTGTGTGTGAGTGTGTGTGCGTGTGTGTGTGTGTTCCAGAAAGTTACACAGATTGCATTCCTACCAACAGAGGAGCATCTAAGAGGAAACTTCCCTTACACCAACGTCAAACTTGGGATTCGTCAGCATTTTAAATGATCATTCAAGTCAGGTGAAAAGTGCGTCTCAGAGAAGACAGACACCACTTGCCTAAGAATCACATGTGGCAACTGTTCATCTTCTAGAAGTCAATTATGTTTATTTTCTTGTGAAGAGCACTCATTTGTCTTTTGCCCTTTTTTCTAGTAGATTGGTTTTTATTTTCTTTTTGAATTGTGTGTTTTATTTCTTCCGGGAATTAGTAAGGCTAGCTGCTGTAACAAAAAGCCCCAACACCCATTCCAGTCAATGATTTACATGATTACTTCTCTCACCTGTTAACAGTCCAATGTGAATGTTCTGGGGACACACAGATGGCCAGGCTACTTACACATGGTCCCCAATAATGAGAGGTAGGACCTCTGGGAGGTGAGTGGGCTTGAGGGCTCTGCCTTCCTGAGTGGGTTAATCCACTTGTGGGTAATGGACAACAGAGTCCCTACAGGTGTGGCTTTGTTAGGAAGCAGCTCTCCCCGGCACACCTGCTGTCTTGCCACACGGTGCCCTCCATCACACTATGCTGCAGCACCACAGCACCACGCTCTTGGGCTCCCAGGCTCCAGAACCAGGGCTGAATAACCCTCTCCTCTTATAAACTACCCCGTCTGGAGTATGCAGATATAGCAATGGATTGGACTAAGGCAGGTGCCCAGTTCCTTCCATCTGGTTTCCCTGCCATGACCTAGGACGTCACCTCCTCCACAGTACCCATGCTGGTTACACCGTGTCCAGCTGTGACGAGGGGGAGAGCACCTGGCTGGGTCCCTCTTAGGACCCCTACCTGGCTCTGCTCATACTCTACGTACGGATCAGAGCTGACTCCAGGGCCACATCTAACTCAGTGTATTCCAGCTGTATACCTAGCCATAGGTCCTGCCTAACTCGGTGGCTCAAAGCTCAACATTCCTTACCTCGCACTTTCTGTGGATCGAGAGCTTGGTATGCCTGACCCTTGCCTTTGCAAGGTTCTGTGTAACCAAGGTGCTGGCCCAGCCAGTCCTCAGGCTCCACTTCTCAGTCTGGGCCTCTTGCCGCGTGCATCGCCTGCGCAGTTCCTTCTCCCCCGCCGTCCTGAGCCCCCCAAAGTCCCCGTGAGGGTCGGGATGAACTTCTTCCCGTTAGTGTAGGGATCTTGCCCCCCTCCCCTGACCACGAATGTTCTTACCGGCATCCGGAACGGAACCCTTCCAGGTTTTCAACTGCCCGGATCAGAGGAGGCACCATCAAGGGCACTCACAGCCCCACAGAACACGCTTCTTAAACAAGAAGATGTGGAGTCAGAATGACTCCCAGTCCCCGGGTGCACAGGGGTGCTGGGCCAGCAGGCCTGGACACAACACGGGCCCCGTGTCCCTCTCCACCAGAGCTGTTGGGGACCGGGTTTCCCTGGTGGAATCAGGCTGCCATCCAGGCCCGAGGCTCCATTCCCAGAACCAGACACGGTGGCTCCAGTGCTGTCCCTCAGGCCCTGGATTTCCAGGTGGTCAGTGAGCACTGGCCTAGACTTAGAGCCACCCACTACATCAGCCTTTGATAAGGGTCAGCTGTCCTTGGAAGCTTGGAAGGCAGGCATGGACCCCACTGAGCCACAGAAGTCCTCAGCAGCCTCTTCCGACGCGGCCGACGCGTCCACACTGAGAATCCTTGTTCAGTGCGACAGCCGGTCTCCTGGACGGTGCACTGCGGCTTCCACACTCGCCTGTGCCGAGACACCTGAGCAGCCTCCAGGGGCGACCTCAGCCTCCTCGCCTGAGTCTTCAGAGCGAGAGAAGAGGGCCACCTGTTGGCTTTCTCTGCATGCCCACTGCGGAGTCCTCCAACCTGCCCTCAAGAACTCCCCTCCACATTCCCAGAGTGGTGAGCCGTGGGCACAGAGGCCTGGCTCTCAGCTCACCTGTCTGGCTGTCCACTCACCTTCTTCACCAGGCCTTGGCATCTCTAGCTTCTGATTTCAAGGAAATGCGTGTGACCCTGACACATGGATGCTTAGAGCCACTGTGGGGTCATTTACTGGCCTCGTGCACTGTGTCTCGGGTAACTTGCCTGGGAGAGGAGAGATGGGGAATGGAGCAGTGGGGACACAGGCAACGCTGGGCATTGCACTCACTGGTGGTCTTATATGAGCACAGTCCACAGCACCCCTAAGCAATCACAACCATCAAAGTTGATTGACCACAGCCAGGTACACCGGCACATGCCTGTTAACCTAGTAGATCAGGAGGCTGAGGCAGGAGGATTGCAAGTTCAAGGCCAGCCTCAGCAACTTAGCCAAGCCCTAAGCAACCTAGCAAGACCATGTCTCAAAATAATAACAATAAAGGGCTGGGGATGTGGGGATGTGGCTCCGTGGCAAAGCATTCCTGGGTTCAATCCCTAGGACCAAAAAAAAAAAAACCAAAGGATGTTTGACCACAGATCACTGTCAAATATAATGTAATGAAAAAGCTTTAAATACTGTGAGAATCGCCAGACTGTGGCACCAACACACCAATAAGCATGTGCTGCCGGAAGTGTTCCAACAGACTTGCTCAGTCAGGACTGTCACCATCCCTCTGGTTGAGACGGAAATCACCACAGTGGGGTGAAGCGCAGGGAGGCAGGTCTGTCTGTGCAGGGTCGCACAGTCCACGCCCAGGACACCCTGCTGCCCACGCCAACACCACTGGGTGGAAGCAAGCCACCTGCCTCACCACACTCAGGGGAGACTCTGCCAGGGCTCCAGGCCTACGAGGGCCACCGGGTCCTACCACGTTCCCCGGAGAAGTCCGCTGCAGTTAAAGAAAGCAAGCAGATCTCAGGGGAGAGCCCTGCCAGCCTCCCCCAGCACCTCCCTTCTCAGTGGAAAGCTGGTAGGCTGAAGATGGTGAAATCTGGTGGTCATTTTGAGGTTCATATTTTAAATTGACTTATGGCATTCTGGACATTTGTGTGAAGTCAAGTGCATTATTATTTCCCTTTCCCGCCTCTGAGTTCTGTTGTGACTCCCGACACTGGTGAAGGACCTCCCCCCCAAGTTGGCAGAGAACTCCATCCCGTTGTCTCCTGAGATGACGCGCATTCCGATGGCAAACCACCCCATCTTTTAGAACACTGCCTCACTTCCAGGGCAATTTGTTTGTATAAACTACTTTGCTGCTGACTTGCTAGAAAGCTATTTGTTCACAATTTTGCTAATCAGTGGCTTTTTAAGGGAAAGAAGTGAGATTTCAGCAAATTATTTTCGCCCTTTAATATGCAATTCTTAGCACGGCTCTAGGAAAAGCAATAAAATTTCATGGAAAGCTGGGTGCAAAATCAGCATCGTTCACCGGTAGTCGATGATACACCTTATTCCAGCCCTCACGGCCTTTTTCACACAGGGAACATTTTGTGGTCTCAGGTGTTTAACCTCGGGGTCTCTCTGATGCTGACCACATGGTGACTTCCAATAGGAAAACATGACTGTGCCAACCAATCCATTCACTTAAAGTCACCCTCTTGCAAACAAAGGCTAAGTCACCGGGAAATCCCAGGGAAACCTAGGATGCTTCCTCAGTCAAGATTCAGTGCATCCCCTACTCTGGGGACAGCCCTGTCTGCACCTGGACAGCTGCTAGCAAAAGGCACTTTGGAAATCATATGCGTACGGTAAAGGTCACCGTGCTTCACTCTACAGATCCTGCGTTTGTGGTAATACTGGAACAGTCCCACAGCCCTCAGACAACCAGCATCAGGACCTGCCAACACAGTCACCTAGGGCCCCGGTGGTAGGACCAGAGGCTACAGGAAGGAAGAGGAATGGACCTCCTGTATCTTTGCCCCTGCAGCTTTTCCTGAATCCACCCGTCGTGGGTGTCGTGAATGGGCACAACAGTGGCCCCTGTGTGCTGCCAGGCCTGGGAGTGACGTTCACAGTTCTGAGTAGTAGAGACGATCCGTCAACAGAGGCCACATGTGAGAGATAGATCTGTGCCTCTTCCTCCACAGCTCACCTTCATTCCTACCTTCCATTGACAGCAGAAACCGGAGCTTGGTCCAACCCCGCCCAGCACAGCTGAGCTACAGGGCCACGCGGCTCCCGATGCTGGGAGGATGAGGGCCATCTACCCAGGACGGCCTCTGTGGAGTGACCTCAACCCCACATTGCCCTGACCCTGCCTCCCCAGCCAGGGCCCGTGACAGCTACACCCCCCGCTGAAAACCAAAGCCCAGCACTGACTCCTCTTCTCTTTCAGCCACGCCTTCTCTTCCCTTAGACGGTGGCCAGCACCAAGTAACCAGGAAATGAACTGTGAGCAGTTTGCTCAACTGGGGAGAAGAAGCTGGATCCCCTCTCCCTGCAGGTCCCAGGAAGCTGCTACAACCTCCAGAAACAGGCAGGAGATGCTCAAGTGCAGACTCAGCTAGACTGCGCTGGCCAGAGCACAGCAGGCGCCCCCCCGCCCCCTGCAGGACTGCAGGCAGCTTTCATTCTCAGAATAAGGAAGTTCAGGAGCCACAGACACCTACCTAAGGGCAGCCTCAGAGGACAAAAAGCATCAGATTTCCAAATACTCTCCTACCGCACGTAGAATTGATATTTAATTAATATCGCCAAATGCCATCCCACTCCACAGAATTAATTAATGTTTCCAAATGCTCTCCTACCTGTCACATAGACTGGCAGGCAGCAGGGAGATCCAGATTCCAGAAGCAAATCGGATCCAATCATAACACCCAGAAATGCCTTTAAGAAAGGAGGCCACGCCCAGCTCCTGGGCGCCAGGGCAGGTGAGCACTGATTTGGTTTCAAGCGCCGTGATTCAAGGGCCTTCAGGGACACTGGCAGCAGATTAGTCACAATACAGGCTCATATGACCAAAGCTCTGACCAAACCACAAGAGTCACATCCAGGCTGGGTTCAGTCCCTGCCCCCCACTGGGGCTACACCCCAAGCCACAGGGACCCCCTGCACCCCTCTCCCCCGGCACCAGCTGCAAGGGAAGCTGGGAAAAGCGGGCCATGCAGCCCAAACCTGGGACTGCCACTGCTGGGAAGACAGGGATATTGAGGGACCATTAGCCATCTTGGATGCTCTCAGATAATCAAACAAGGATTTTTAAAAATTCCACCCACTTCAATGCTCAGGCACATGCGTCCTCTGCCATCACTTCTCAGGGCTCACGTGGCACCTTCCCGCTCCACACACCCAGGTGGCAAGTAACCTCAGCTGGTCTCCTGCCCAGACTGAGCCCTGGGTGATCTGTGGCCACACCCACCTCTGCCCAGATGCCCTGGGCAGCAGGCCCCACCTTTCCTGACCAGCTAGATCCTCTCTCAAAGGCGAAAATGATCTTTGTATTGAGCTTCGTGGGCCATGGCCACCTTCTGTCATCTACCCAACTCCTGTTCAACGCCACATTGGCACACTCACACACACTTCTCACACTTCTCTGCTAAAAGACCTGCCTGTGTCCCAAGGCAGTCAGGGGTGGATCCCTCACAGAGGGAGGGCGCCACAAAGGGTCCAGAAGGAGTGGTCATTCCTGCCCCTCTGCCATGACCACGTGACTCCATCCTGGCCACTGGGACTTTCCCTGTGGGGGCCTTTCAGGAAACCTTTAGCTTTTCTGCAGCTTTGGATGCAACATCTTGCCCTCCCCCTGCTGGATCTAACCTGGGTGTCGGGCTGCCCGCTGCTCAGTAGGGAGGCAGTGGGCCACAGGAGCCACCAAACCTAGAACCTGATGGCCCTCCTGGGCCCAGGCCTGCCCTGCCCTGGCCTTTCTGAGAAATAGGACTACTGAGTATTCAACGCTAAAAAAAGAAATGAGCTACCAAGCCATGAGAATACCTGGAGGAAACTGAAGGGCACATTGCTTAGTGAGACACGCCATTGGGAGAATATCACACGCTGCAGGATTCCAACTACCAGACGTTCCCGAAAAGGTGAAACTGCAGAACAGTAAAAGATCAGTGATGACAGGGGTTGGGGTCTGGGGGATAAATAATGTAGCACAGAACGTCTGTAAGCAGTGAAGCCCCGCTGCACGACACTGCAATGGAGGATACAGGTCCTCTCACATCTGTCCTATGGGCAGACTGTCCCACACCCAGAGTGAACCCTAATGCAGACTGTGCACTCCTGGGGACAACAGTGCATCAGTGTGGGTCCATGGTGACAAGCAGACACCCTGGTGGGGACAGTGTCAGTAGGAGGTTGTTCTGTGTAGGAGCCGTGGGTACAGAGTCTCCATGCCTTCCACTTGGTCCTGCTGTGCGCCTAGAACTACTCAAATTAATAAGTAAGTCTTAGTTTAAGCTTCTTATGTGGCTACTCATCCCTGTCGTTCCCACTTCCAATGGCTGACGCTGGCCAAGCGTGTGCCTCTGGTGACATGCCCTGCTCTCTGCCGTCCTGTGGCAGCTCTCAGTGGCCCTGGAATCAGCGGTGTGGTTCCGGCCAGCTGGAGGTCTAGAACGCAGGGAACCTGGGCCACAAGCACCCACACCAGCAGGGGACACAGGAGGACTCGAGCCTCATGCTGAATCAGGAACAGAGCCCATGAGAGGCACGTGGATCTCTCCTCTCCAAGCTACATGGTCACTACCTCTGAACCCGCCACTCCCACCCCCACGCGGTGCACCAGGTTGTCTGGGGCTGGTTATGGGGCAGTCCACCTGGAGGACAGTCCAGGATGGCTCTGCGGGCCCTGGGGCATGGCACTGAGCCTGGCCCCTCGTGGGAACTCCTGCAGCGTTTGTTAAAAGGAAATCCCAAGCAACAGCAAGAAGCCGGGTGACCTCTTCCCATTGTCCTCCTGGCACCTTGACTCCAACCATCCTTTTGTGGACACGACATCCAGTCTCTCCTGGAATCCAGCTCGCAGCCATCCACAGGAACAGAGGCAGGCTTGCAGCTTCAGCCCCAAGAACCAGGTGCCACAGACTAAACGGAATCACCAGAGACAGCCCTGGGCTGTCATCGTCCTTGCCACAGCCACAACGTGCCCTAGGCCAGCCCTCTGCGACTGCCCCCCCACACACACACACACAGATGGAGAAGGGCCTCAGGGAAGTCCACAAGAGCTAGAGAGGGAAGGGCCCAGGCAGGGGCGGGAGGCCAGGCCTTCCAAGGTGGCTGCCGGGGTGGGGTCACCTCTGGACCCCATTTCTGGGGAGGGGAAGCGGGACAGCTCTAGCTGCTCCCTCACGAAGGCAACTTCCCTGCAGGGCACCAGGCAGACCAGAGCTCAGGCGAGGGAAAAGAGCCCGGAAACCCACGCTGCCCCGTCCATCAGCGGGACAAGTGACAGGCTCCTTCAGACCTCAAAGAGCCCTGAGCAGGCAGTCCCTCTAACATGACAGCCCCACCCAGAAGAAACCAAAGCAGCAACCCTCAATTCCTGATTCCACAGGCTTCCCACAAGCAATTTCCCCTCCGAGGACAAACCTCCTGGATCTGGAGAACATGCCCATCTCCAGGGAGGAATGTTCCGGCACAGCGGACAGAAAGCAGCCTCTTCCAGGAAAGGATCACCTTCTTATCTGGGGTAATAACGAGTCAGGGTCTTATAAAAACTGTGGGAGGAAAAAAAGAAGTCCTTTGAAAATGTGTTTAAAAACAGTCCCCAAACATTTCAAAAGGCCTCCTGCACGCACATTTCCACGGTGTGTTAACAACTTGGCAGGAAAAAGTGAGATACCATCTACGCACATGCGCACTTAGCCAGAAACCCCTCCTCCAGGGTCCCAGCCTCCGCGTCTTTGTGGAGCAACACTGCCCCCTCGTGGCCAATTTCTACTTGCCCATTAGACACCCTGATGGTTCTATAAAAATATGTGACTTGGGTATTTTGCACCCTTAACACTTCTGCATATCTGAAGGGAACATGCACATGCAATTCTACTTCTAAGTGAGGAGGAATTTGACTTAAGAACACTGTCATCAAATAGTCATGATGCAGTTCACAGAAGCACTTAAGAAAGAAAAGTGTGACTGGTGGATGTGAAGATTGCTCGGGCCATCCCAGGTTTTGCTCTTCCCCACGAGACAGTGAACTGCAGTTCAAGGCAGTTAAAGTGCCGATTCCCTCCAGCCCCGGGAACTTACCTACTGGATTTTTTTGCAGTAACAAGAGAATCTGTTGAAAGCACATCCAGTGTCTCTAGAGACTATTTATAAAGAGACGTTCACACAGGTCATTCTTCCCCTGTTGATGGGTCATTCATTCTTCATCCCACATTGCCCTAATCCTCCCATTTGCTGAATATTTATCCATTTCAACAGCACTTATTAAGTACCTACTATATGCCAAGTAGCAGGCTGGGAACTCTCAGAATTGGCTGCTCAACAGGGTGCGCTCCCCAGCAGCAGCTGCACCTGAGGCTTGTTAGAAGTGCAGATCTCAGCCCCACTCCAGACCCAAAGAGTTTGAATCTGCAGTTTAACAAATCCCCACAAGATGTGCATTAAAAGCTGGGAAGTTCTGCAGCGGTTCCCAGATTCACCTGGTGGGGTTGTTAAAACACATACTGCTGGCCCCTCCTGGAGGGTCTGACGCTCTGGATCCAAATGACGCCCCCAAACATGCATGTCTAACAAGTTCCCACTGCTTCTCAACCTTGGTGGCATATTGGCAGGCACTATCTAAGAGGATACACACACACACACACACACACACACACACACACACACACATATATATAGTTAGTTGTCGTTGAACTCAATACTTTTATTATTATTATTATTTTTATATGCTGCTGAGGATCGAACCCAGCATCTCGCATGTGCTAGGCAAGCATTCTACTGCTGAGCCACAACTCCAGCCCCTCTCCGAGAGTTTTAAACAATACGGGGCCCACCTGCAGAAACCTTGAGTGAATGCATGCCCGTAATCCCAGTGACTTGGAAAACTGAGGCTGGAGGATCCCAGGTTTATGGCCTGCCTTTCAAGACCTTGTCTCAAAATTAGAAAGGCTGGAGATGTAGCAGTGGTAGAGCACCCCTGGATTCAATCCCCATAACAAAAAAGAAAATCCATGTAGAATACCAAAAGTAAGCTGAAGAGATGGGCTGAAAGAAGAGCAGCATCTTGGAAAGGCTTTGAGCCCAAAGTGGAAGGCCTGGCTCAGCCCACTGTGGTGCCTGTCCTTCAAGTCCCGGGGAAACTGTGACTCGGAGACCTGTACCATACGGCCAAAAATAATGGCCTGCATCCCTGGGTGGGTGGCTGTGGAAACATGGAAAATGTCTTTAAAAACATTCTGAAATTCATAAAACTTCAATGGTATGTTTTCTTACCACACAATGTACACTTAAGTAAAACAAGCAAGCATATGAAATAGAGCTATCTGATTAACTAAAAATAGCAGGGAAGTTGTAGTAAACACTACATATTTTCTTTTTTTTTTTTTTCCTCCAAATTGAAGCCTTTCTGAGAACTTGTTCAATGGGCATTTCCTGAAGTTTTCCCAAGAGACTTTGCTTTACTCATCTCTTCATTCAACAACCTGTATTGAGTGGCACCTAGATGCAGCTAAGGTGCTGTCTTCTTCTGTATAAATCTCTTCATGTCAGCAGAATTTACTTATTTGTGAATGATATAGAAAGTTCTGTATAAAATAAAGAAAAAACATGTCTGAGGAAATAGGCCCAGGAGTCAGGTATAAAACAAGATGGGGACTGAGCGTGCGCTTTTTCCCTCCCTCCTAAGAATGCGTTAAAGCCAAAGCAAAACGCTGGCATCGTGGTACACACCTGTCCTCCCAGCTGCTCGGAGGCTGAGGTAG